GTGGAGGAAAATTCAGACATGAGCCTCAAACTCAAACAAAGTATCTTAGAACTATTTTTACGGAACAAAACCAATCCAAATTCAAAGTTTGACAAATTATTAATTAAAAGCAAATCACTCAAGGAGATTAAGAAGATCAAACAGAAAGCTTCACTTGATTTTTTTTAACTTCAGATGACCAAATTTCCAATGAAATCATTCATTTACCTAAACAACTCATACCCAAATCCTACCCATCTTTAAACGGCTCTTCCAAAGCTTATAGAAAAATAAGATTAATGAGATATGATAGCAATAGATGAATCTGTTAGGTTACAATATTTCTTGAAAACAAAAAAATTCAGCAGTTACAATGTCTTCAATTTTGGAAATTCAACGGCGAAACAGGTAGCCAAATTTCGGACAAAATCACAAACCAAACCACGGACAGCGACGGAACTTCGAACTCGATGACTTCTCAATCAGACTCCATTTTTCAACCAAAATTCGGATTGAAAAGAAGAGACGGAATATATATTTTCAAATTTTTAGGCAGTGATTGAAACAAAAGAGAAAAAAGAATTCACTAAAGTCTTCCCATTTTTCTCTCTGAAAACCCTATTTTATAACTTCTCTCGAAGCTTCTATGCTTCCTTCACAAGAAATCCGGAAAAAAAATCTTTCCGAAAAAATCAGAAGACTTTCAAAATCCAAAAATAATTTTTTGTTCTCTTTTTTTTCGAACGATTTTAAGACAAATAGAGGACTAGGATTTAAAGTACTCAAATACTACGTCCACCATTGATCCGAATTCCATCTAATAGAATAAAAAATGCATGAAATAAGGGGAAGGGAATATTCTTTGTCAGAAATCGTTAGGGGTCGGGTGGCGTGGAAGAGGGAGAGAAGAGAGAGGTGGCCATGTGATTTAGGGGGGAATTTTCGGTGGGTTTGGTTGTGGTTGCGGCGGTAGAGAAGGGGTGAAGGGGTGACACGACTGAGATGGGTTTCTTTAGGGTTAGGGTAAATGTTAGGTTAGGTTTTTATGTGTTGGGGGAATAAATAAGGGATGTTGGATTAGATGGGATAAATGGTTGGGATTTAAAGGGTGCTAGGTGGGTCAGAGATTGGGGCGTGGGTCGCGGGTCGGCAAGGGTTAAGGGCATTGGGCTAGGGAAAAATGGGTGGTGGATTGGGTTGGTTATTTTGGCTCAACTCCTAAATTAGGCTACTAAAAAAATGATCATACTAAATCAAAATAGATAAAAATAGGCGAAAATAGTATTACTACATAAAATACTAATTAACCTTAAATTAAAATAGACTTGAACTATTTTTGTGTTTTTTTTTTTTGATTTTTTTAATACTCAAAACAACAAAATAAAAATAAAAATAAAAGTATTTATACGTATTAAAATCCTAAAAAAAATTAATATAGACTCAAATAGATATGTATAAAATGTTGGAATAGCTTGCAAAAATTGACGGGTCAAAAATTACGTGCTTACAAGTGGTAGTTACTAGTAATATATACTAGGAGTATATAATAACATGTTATAATTTTTACAAGTGTAGAAATGTATTTTTACCAGTAATTTCTCGAAAATTAAGATGATTATACCAGTAATTTTGCCGAAAACTCAAAACAGTTATTCAAACGAAACAAATGGTTAAGATCCAAAAGAATATTTTTTGCAAATTGTTACATTCATTCCACTCTTTGCAAAGCCAATTAATCAATGGAAAACGTGGAAAAGATCAGAAAGGAATTCAAGTATTGGAATTTTGAAGCATGCTACTATCAAAAAGACAATTACTATAAATCGGAAAAGAAAAGAGGGTATCAACAATTGGTTGACTCATTTATGAGAACCAGTTTGGTTTTCGAGGAGCCTTTGACCACTAACTCTTGTAAAGCTAGCATTGAGATGATAAAGAGCCAAGAGAGAGAATGTCTGACTTCTCTCTAGCAAACTTTGAAGAAGAACCCTAGTTCCCCTTTCAATTACCCACAACATCATTCCATCAACTGCAATACCAAAAGACCCATGTTGGACAAACTAGACTTAGAACAACAACACAATGCAACAACCACACAAGCACCCAACGGAAACGACACAGATATGGAACACCTTGAAGATAATAACACAGCTACACAGAGCTCACACCAGCTTTTGAGCTCCCAAGCAATGGGTGATCATCAAAACGAACACTGTGATGACAAACAAGACAAAAAAACTACTTTCTTAACCAAACTTCAAGAAAACTTAGACACCGTTCAAACAAAAAACCAAATAGCAGTGCAAAAATCTATCCTTGACTTTGATACTTCGGACGAAACTGAAAACATCTTTAATTCGGACAATTTCATACCCATTACTTCGGAGGATAAGGAAAGAATATACAAAAATTGGGAAAATTCTCTAATAATAAAAATTTTCGGCAGACGAGTAACTTACCAATTCCTACAACCAAAAATACATGCTATATGGAGACCTACTGAGCACCTAACACTAATTAACCTTGGATATGATTATTACCTCATAAAATTCACTAGATCAGAAAACTACGACAAGGCACTACATGGGGGACCTTGGTTCATCGGAAACCAATTCCTTACTATAAGGAAATGAGAGCCCAGGTTCATCGCCTCAGCAGCATCACTAACCTTCTCAGCCATCTGGGCTAGATTACCAGAGCTCCCAACGGAGTTCTATGACTATGAGATTCTTCATAAGATAGGAAACAAATTAGAAAAACTTCTTAGGATCGATGCCTGCACATCCTCAACCACTAGAGGTAAATATGCAAGGGTATGCATTCTAACACCCATTGAGAAGCCCCTAAAAACACACATCATCATAGGAAATCACTACCAAAAAATAGCCTACGAAGGATTCAACCTTCTGTGCGAGTCATGTGGACGACTAGGCCACAATTCAAGCAATTGCCCTAATGTAGAATCTACTACTGAACCAAACACTGACACTAACAATGGAAAGACCATGGAAATTGATACCCTAAACAAAGAGATTGACCATTGGACCATTGTGACACACAAAAGAAAATAAAAAAAACACTGGCCATGGCTAATGCTCACCTGAATGACTCTTTTGTACTGAACAAAACGGGATCAAATGGCAATTCAAGGATCCCAAACGATGAAGCACAACATGATGATACCATTCAAGGACACAACTAGGAACAAACCCTCAAGAGAAACACATTGCTTAACCCAGTGGTCACTACCCAGCCCCTAACCAAAAACGAAACATTGACCAAAAAACTGAAACCCTAGGCAACCCTAGCTGCCATTCCATCGACAAAACCCCTGAAACCTTAGGTAACCCTAGCTGCTACACCAAACCAACAACCCTCTCGTACAAAAGTACTCTGGATAACACTCATTCCCCTCCTTTATCAAACCACCCCCATCACAATCAATGCCCCAATTCACCACCCAAGAACCCACATATTCTGAAACAGAAAAGGAGAAAGACTCAAGCTTTAAACCCAGCGGACAACCACCTAAAAAACAAGAGACAAAGCCAAAAGCTGACGACCAAATCCTAAACTCAACAAAAAGGAACAACTCGATGGACATTGACCAACCCCTTACCTTAGGCAAAGCCCCATCAACATTAATTGGTGATTACAACCCCCCTAAACTAAGGCTTCACACCCCCAAAAAAGTAGACATCACTTCTCATGATTTCTTGTCAAAAATCATCCCAACAAAAACCATTGAAGCACTCCTCTCAAACCAAAAAGCTGAAAATAACAAAGTCCCATCAACCATGTACATCACTCCCATGTAAAATAATTTGAACTCTATATCTAACAACTCCAACGAGCCTCCATCATCCAAAACTATAACCCCTAATCTGCCAAAGAACAATGAACAACATCATGGACAGGTTTCACTCTACCAATTACTAACGAAGACACCATAGAAACAGGAGAAATGTTTGGATGAGGCAACAACAAAGAACGCCACTCCATGAACCATACCCACCCATGAACCCACCCGAGCCAATAATCTACACAACACCACCACTACCAGTGAACCATGTTCCACAGTCATGGCTGGAGTACGGACTGACAGGATTCTCCCTAAACATGAATCTGCAGCTGGAGGGTCAAGACATCATGGTCCAACTAGAAAATCCGAGCTACCTTGCTCAGATAATGACAGAGGGTTTGAGGATAGGGCTGGACAACATTGCAAATCACCCTTGGTTGGCCATGTTCAATAACCAGATGCCTCCCCTCAACAACCCCACCTTGGGGATCCATCCATCACCGTGGAGCAGACAACCAAGGATAGCCTCTTCTGCACAAATAGAGCTGAGCATATAGCTCCCCTTATTTCAAGAAACTATCCCCCCCAATCAAAACACACTTCCATCAACACCATGCAGCACACCATGCCAACAATCCCAACAATCCAACACTAAACACAAAGCAAACTCAAGTAGCGGCAACCCAAACACTAGCTATAGCAGTGACATCAAAAAGTTCCCCTACACTTGTCCAAACACAGACGGAAGAGGGGGAAGACGAGGAAGGATCATCAACAGCAAGACGAGTGGAGTACGACATGATAAGGGACCCAAAGACGCTGGTGTTCAAGGAAAAAAGAGAAAAAAGATACATCTTACACTGCCCACAAGACTTGAGGAAATTCTCGATCAATATACGAGTTCTTAAAAGCCCCCCGACAATTTACAAGTATGGGGCAGTGATAATCCCAACTCTGTATGAGCATCACTGGACGAACCAAGACAACATGGCATGGGGAGCCCACCCCAAGCAATCCCACGGCAGGCATAGGTGGAGACATCCCAAACCCTAAATAGATCAATGAGCGTCATAATCTAGAATTGTAGAGGAGCAGGTAATGATGAATTCAGAGGATATTTAGATCAATGTTAGACTACAACAGACCCTTTCTGGTAGCCTTATTGGAAAAAAGGTTAGCGGATCACCAAGCTATTGTTGAGGACTTTGGGTTCATAAAAATGACCCAAGTAGCAGCTCAAGGCAACTCGGGAGGAATGGTTATGATGTGGAATGAAGCAGAGGTAATAGTGGATCAAGTTGCTAGTACTGATCAGGAAATCCACGCCATGGTAAAGGTAAAATATTCTCCACACCAATGGCTTTTATCCATTATTTATGCTAGTTGTTTATTAGAGGAAAAAAATATCCTGTGGAATAAGCTAAAAATAGTAGCAAATTCCTTTAAGGGCCACTGGCTAGTCACGGGAGACTTTAATGAAGTGACAGGGGCAAATGAAAAATTTGGTAGATTACCCGTTAAGAACATTAGGGTTTCCAAATTTATAAACTGTATTAACTATTGTGGGCTCCTAGACCTAGGGTTTAAGGGTTCTAAGTACACCTGGTCAAATAAAAGGATAAACTCTAAATTAATAATAATGGAAAGGTTGGATATATACATGGCCAACCCAAACTAGATCAATATATACCCTGAAGCCCAAGTAACCCACCTAACCAGGGTTTACTCGGATCACTGCCCTATTAAACTAGACTTAAGGAGAATTAAGTCCCGTAAAAATAAAGTCTTTAAAATAGAATCAATGTGATTATCCCACCCCTCTTTTAAACATCTAGTAGAAGCCAATTGGAGCATCCATGACTCTCTTCTAATGGCTATTGAAAATTTCACAAAAGAAGTAAAAAACTGGAACATTAATACCTTTGAGAATATTTTTCATAAAAAAATGTCACCTTAGCTAGGCTCAACGGGATACAAAAATCTCCTAAATATACTACTAGTCAATTCCTTAGAGACCTGGAATCAACCCTAATAGAAGACCTTAATGGACTTCTAAAACTAGACGAGGAATTCTGGAAGCTCAAGTCAAGAGTACAATGGCTAAATAAGGGGGACGCAAACACAAAATTCTACTACATTACCACAATGCAGCGTAGAAGAAAAAATAGAATCCTTAGCCTAAGAGATGAGGGAGGTAACTGGTTTTACGACCAAAAAGAGATCATCCCTTTAATTACTGAATTCTTTAAAAAACTCTTTACCACAAGACAGGTTTACTCCCCTAAAAATCAAACGCCAATGTCCTACTATGCTACTCTTGATAGCATGGACCACCCTACCCTAAGCTTGGAACCTAATCTCCAGGAAATTAAACAAGCAGTTTTCTCCTTTAAGACTTATAAAGCTCCAGGACCGGATGGTCTTCACCCATTCTTCTACCAAAAATTCTGGAATGAAACAAAAAATGCCTTAATCAACTTCTGCAAGGATACTTTTAGAAATAAAAAGATGGTGGAGGAAATGAACAAAACCTACATTTACTTAATTCCAAAATGTCAGAATCCGGAAAATATAAAACAATTTAGACCTATAAGCCTTTGTAACACCGCCTACAAAATCATTACAAATATTATAGTTAATAGAATCAAACCACTCCTCCCAAAGGTCATACACCCCACTCAAACTAGCTTCCTAAAAGGGAGAAGGGCCTCAGATAATGCCATCATTGTGAACGAAGTAATGACCTACTTTAAGAGAACTAAAAGGAAGAAAGGAAAAATGTTAATAAAAATAGATCTGGAAAAAGCCTTCGATAAAATAGAATGGTCCTTCGTAAGGTTCTCACTAATTTCCTTAAATTTTCCCAAAGACCTAATAGACCTAATAATGTCCTGTATCTCTACCACTTCAACTTCAATCCTGATAAACGGGTCTAGCACCGATTTCTTTAGACCCACAAGGGGGATTAGGCAATGGGACCCCCTATCCCCATACCTATTCATAATCTGCATGAAAATGCTATCTAGGCTTATACACCACGAAATTGACGGCCGCAATTGGATCCCCATAAAAACGCCTAACGAAGGACCACAACTATCTCACATGTTCTTTGTAGACAATCTAATCTTAATGGCAGAAGCCAACCAAAAAGGTTGTAACTCAATAAAAGACACCCTTAATAAATTCTGCAACCATTCAGGTCAATCCATTAATTTCCAAAAGTCAAGAGTTATCTTCTCCAAAAATACCTCCTCTAGAAATAAGGAGTGCATCAACCAATGTTTTGCCATGAGATCCTCAAACGAAGTAGGGAAATACCTAGGATTCCTAATCCTGAACTCAAATCCATCCAAAAAAGATTTCCAACATATTAATGATAGCCTCAACTGTAGACTACAGGGCTGGAAAGTAAACCTCCTGACTATAGCAGGAAGAACTACCCTAATAAAATCCACCCTTGCAGCAATCCCTAATCATGTCATGCAAATTTACAGCCTCCCAAAAGCTACCCTCAAAACTATCGACACCATCCAAAGAAACTTCTTGTGGGGGAGCACTTCTGAAACAAGAAAAGGTCATCTTATTAATTGGAACACAGTAACTAGGGATAAAAAGGAAGGGGGCCTGGGGCTATACAAAGCCAAATGGAAAAACCAATCCTTCAATGCAACCTTGGCATGGAGATTTGCAAGGGAAAAAGCAATCTCTATGGGTAAAAGTCCTACAGAGTATATATAGCATCAATAGGGACTCCTCCAGGTGGAAATACCTGGGGGGAAAAAGGAGGAACCCACACCTGAAAAAATATCTGTATTGGAGGAGAAATCTGTGAAAAAGGCATCCATTGGAAAGTAGGTAATGGGGAATCCATTAACCTATGGCATGATGCCTGGATTATGGACTCAAGCCCCGTTCGATCCCTCATACAGGGCCCCTACCTCTCAAAGAAATAAATCTCTCCTAAGTTCCATCCTAGAAGAAGGATCTTTCAACATCAATATCCTCTCCTTCGAGCTACCAGAAAACATTTGCAAATTTTTTTTGGCACGTATGTAAAACAAAACGAGCCGGCAGTTGACAAATTTACTTGGGAAGAGGGATCTAACGGATCTTTCTCTACTAAGGCTACCTACAAAATTGTTAAAGCTCAGTCGAAAGAAGAAGGAAACTGGATAGACTTTTCTTGGCTATAGAAGCTAGACACCCTAAACAAAATTAAATCCTTCTTATGGACAGTTGTCCACAATACGCTACCCACATCCAAAATGCTCTACAAGAGAAAAGTCACTAATTCCAGCACTTGCAATATCTGCCAAAATTAAGAAGAAGACATGGAATACATGTTCTTCAACTGCCGTCACTCAAAACCTATTTGAGATCAACTGGGAAGTTTCTACAAATACCCGAACCAGCCACGCAATGACCTCTCTATGCATAACTAGTTAAAAACCCTTTGCCACACAAATTCACCTTTTAACAGATACTTAACTAAGGCAGATATCCTGCCTTTCACATTTGGCATATCTGGATCCACATAAATAATTTCATCTTTAATAATAAATCTCCCCTCTTGTTAAAAAATATTGTTAAAAACGCAACGGAGTGTAAATTGTTAACAGAATCTACTCAGAGTCCTCACTTAAGGACCACCATTTACATAAAATGGAAGCCACCTGATCGGGGAATTTCAAATTAAACATAGATGGCTCTAGCTTAGGAACCCTGGTAAGGGAGGCATTTGGGGGGGGG